TCCAGCACATCCAAAATATTATTTCAATATGTAATCAATATGCAGAAATTATCAATGAGATATTTTACATTTCTTTTTCACACTAAGTCTTTAAAATCCACTGTGTATCCACTTACAGCATATATTAATTTGGATGCTAACTTTTCATTAGGAATACTTGATCTGTATTTAGATTTCATAAAATATACAATAGAAAAAGATTCATATTCCAGTTGTTTCAAACACTTAAACACTTAACAGTTTTCCAATAACAAACTAATGTCAAATTTTAAACTTAAGTTAAAATTTAGTTTCTTAGTAATGCCAACCTCATTTCAGATGCTTGAAAGAGACATGCGTGATGGCTACCGTACTGGACAGCGCAGCTCTAGATGATCTGTTTTTACATGCTTTACAGTCCAACTATATATAATCCTACCATTAATAACTAAAGGATTGGCAGATAAATTTCTCCCAGGCATACATTAAACATTCAAGATGTTCTGTGGCTGTGTTTAACTTGGGAGCAAGTAGTAGCAAAACCTCCTATAGGAAAACGTGACCACGCCTTATTCGTGCCTTTGTAGAGCTAAGCGAGATGTTTTAGATCAGAAATTGCTTTGAATTGTTTTCATTGTAATCTCTCCTTCAGGTCTTTCTGTGTTTTGATACGGTTCGTTTGAATTGGCTCAATAAATCATTTTGTTTCCTTGCAGAATTCCCAGAGGAGAGTGTTGAAATCCATATACATGAGACTCTTGCTATGTTTAGCCATAGTTTGCAGAAGACCTGTGGGCGCATCTGTTCCCTCCAAATGCCAGAGTGCAGGCAGTGAGATGGTTTTCAGCTAACCTTGTTGTGACATACAGATGAGGCTGTAGAATTTAGAATTTGGAGTAGCGGTGGGTACTGGTCTTTACAGTTAACACAGAGTAGCCACACTGTATGTGTGTCATTTCCTTTTAAGCCAGTAAACTCAAGTAAGTTGGTTATATGTCAAGCAGTGAGTGTAAAAAACTACATGGCTAAGGTGAGTGATAATTGAAAAGGACTTGTTGACCCACTGAAAATGGTGAGAGATGACGAAACTCCCCTGGTCATCCTACCTGCCTCTACTGGCTGGCTTGGTGAGGCATCTTGTGTAGGTTGTGGACATTGACCTTCATGTTTAAAGTGTGTGTGTGTGTTGGGGGTGCAGGACTGGGGATGACGTGATTGGTGTAAGTCATTGTCCAGGCAAACTGGAAGATAAAAATGTTCAAATGACACAGGCATTTTAGTGAAAACCTGTCGCCCAGCCTGGCATTGATGAGGTGCCAGGGGGTCCTTAATAAGCTCTGGCTGCATTTATATGCTCATTCATGGGAAATGTATTGGGTGATAGGTGTGGTCAGAAATAGTACTTCTTTTCCACCCTCAATTTAAACAGCTTCCTGCACTACATTTCTAACCTCTACGTTCTCCCTAACTCAGAGAGCTCACGTGCTGGGTGGCAGTTTGGCCTGGTTTTCAGCATTTTTCCTGGGTATACTGTATTCTCTTCTGTTTCTATTTGGTCATTATCACTAATTAAGCTTCCCTGAACTTGAACATGGGGTATCCACTTCCGCCTTTGCTCCTGCCCACCCATCCTTTCTACATATATAGTCGCAGTGGTTGAAGGTTGTTTTTGAAAACAAGAAAATACAAGAGTGGGCCCTGCTCCCAGCCCAGGTCTCCCAGGTCACAGTGTGTCTGAGAACTGTGCTGCAGTCTTTGCAGGGACACATGTTTTATTGTCTTCTTCCCAGAAGTGACAATCTTTACCTTAAAAAGAAAAGGCTTTATGTCTTTGTGTCCAGTTTATGATCTGCATAGGTTTTCATGGAATGTGTAATCAATACCATTTGGTCTTTTTTTATTCTTTTCACTTAACATTTTTTTTTTTTTAATCCTTTTTGAGACCGGCCGCACTGTGCTCAGCCAGTGAGCGCTGTGAGCGCACTGGTCATCCCTATATAGGATCTGAACCCACGGCGGGAGCGCTGCTGCACTCCCAGCAGTGCACTCTCCCGAGTGCGCCACGGGCTCAGCCCCGCTTAACATTTTTAAATTGAGCTCTGTTATTTTTAATTGCTGCCTCATAGTTCATCAAAGTAATATACATCATTGTTAAACACTTTCTCAATTGTCGGCTGTCTGCGTTATTTTACTGTTAGGAATGAAGTGGCTGTAAACATCTTTCAGTTTGTTGCAGTTTCTGCCTTTTGAGACTGTCCCCTTGGGCATCACTTTCAGAAGTGAGATCACTGGGTCAAAGGGATGGTCAATTTATGTTTCCTGATTAGTCTTGTCAGGAGACCCATCTCACTAAGGGCCCTTTGATGCCCTTATAGGAAATCTCCCTGAGGGGGATGCAAGTGGTTTATGAGTGAATTTCACCACAGGACTGATGGCCACCATGTGAGTCCAGTCTCAGCAGTGAACCTTAGCATCATCTGAAGTGAAGCTCCATCTCGTGTGCACTGGCCCCACTGCTCCACACTCCGAGACCCGCTTCTCTCTAGCTGAGCCATTCTTTTTTTCTCTTTGCTAAGAAGATTCAAGCATCTATCCAGAACACTGCTTTCTATACTGAGCAGCACAGAGGACAGCGGCTATTGGTTTTCCTAGGCCCATCTCCATTCTTTTGTGCATCGGGAAGGCTTGCTCAGGCGCTGCCGCTGTGCACGGACGTCCAGGCTCACTGCCCCTGTTTGGAGCGTCTCTGACTAAAACCAGAGAGAGCCAGAAATAGAGGGAACTGCAAAGACAGCCAGGAGCAGGTACCTGAGGAAGCTTAGTTTCATTTTGTTTTTCGGTACAGCTGTATATATACTTCCACCCAAAAATGTATTCTTGGGTCAGTCCGGTCTAGGGAAGGAAGTGTGCCCTCTCTCTGCTTTAGGATCTACACCCGAGTCCCCCCACCACCCCCAGCTGCTTTCATGTCAGGCGCCCTTGTTTTTCCTGAAGCCCGTTCAGAACTTTTCCACTTTTTCTCCCTGTTCTGTTTGTGCCCTGCTCTGTACCCCTGCAGTTTGCTTTGTCTGTGCCTTTTAAGTACCTTTCCAGGAGCACCTGGGACTGGAAATCCCTCTTGACCGTGGGCAGAAATAAGGGTGCTGGGGGCACAGTCACTTCCTTGGCTAACCCGCAGCAGCGGCTGTACCTCTAACACATGCCTTCCCCCACACTGCCCCCACCCTGCTGGCCCTGGGGAAGGAACAGCCCACAATGCAGGTGCCTCTTTTGCTTGTGATCTTCATGGTTTCTGTCACCTAAGAGCTCCTCTCACCTGGCCCCTGCCCACCTCTCCATCACAGACCCTTCCCCAAGCCTATCAGGATGTTTGGAGCCTCCAGCCTATACGAAAGCTGTGTTGCCTCTTTTGCTTGTGATCTTCATGGTTTCTGTCACCTAAGAGCTCCTCTCACCTGGCCCCTGCCCACCTCTCCCTCACAGACCCTTCCCCAAGCCTATCAGGATGTTTGGAGCCTCCAGCCTATACGAAAGCTGTGCCCATGGCCTGGAATGCCCTTCCTGTCCTTGTGGGCTGGTCCTTCTGCGTCAGGACCAGCTGTGTCACCTCTGTGTACAGCCTCCTTTCACCACTTCAAATAGTTGCCTTTTCCTACTGAACATGCACTGAGCTCTCATCTCTGTGCTTGGCATGTGCCAGCCCTTTACAGGAATCACCTCACTAATTCTCAGAGTCCTGCAGGAGGGCTAGTGTCCACACTTGGCCCTTGGGGACATCACCCAGATCAAGTCGTGTAGCCTGCACACTCATGGGACTCAAGAGACTGAACTGTCAGCCCCCCAGTGACAATTCCTCCCCTGGGTGTCCAGCCTGCCCTGCTGAGAGCATGTCATAGCCCTATGTGTGCGTGTCTCCTTTCTGCTGCGAGCTCCTCATCTCTGCGTCCTGGGACCCAACGTGGCACAGCGGAGACGTGCAGCAAATTGTTGGATGAAAAAGACACCTGTCCATTGTCATCTCTTACACCTTTATAAACTTATTATACCTTTTTTTCAATTTCTTTGTGGAAATTGCTTCTTTAAACATTGTTTATAGCCATCTACCTAGGTCCCTTAAGCTATCTGTTTGACTTCAATGTTACAGATATTTTTCAGTTCCTGGCATGTGGCAGCACTGGACTTAGCACTGTAGAGATGATGAAAGGGAGAGGACAGCATAGGGGATGCAACTAGCCATGAAGGACTATACATTTGAGTATTTGTATGGAGTATTTGATTAAATAGCAAATGCAAATGCCTTGGCATGGCCTACAAGGCCCTTCATGATCTGATTCTAGGCCACTTTTCCAGCTTCATCTGCTACTCTCCCACAGACCCCCTAGACCCCAGCCATACTGAGGAGTTTGCTGTTTACGGAGCACCCCCATACTTTAAATGTCGTTCTTCCTTTGTACGTGCTGCTCCTTTTGCCCAGAATGCCTTTCTCCTTTCTCTCTGCCTGGAAACTTCTTACTCATCTTTGAGGACACCCTCCAGTGTCGCTTCCTTTCAACTTTTACTTTGGGTTTCCGTGGCCTTTGTGCATCTTTCTATAATGTGACCCTTATTGTATATTATATGTCAGTGTTGTGATTCTGTACTGCCTGTTGGACATTGAGCTACTCGAAGGTAATGTCCATGTCTCAGTGATGGAAGAATGAATAACAGAATAAAAATGGGGTAAATGGGAAGGAGGGAGTGATGACCTCACATGGCTGGTTGTCAGTCAGGAGTCACTTCTGATGGCAAGAAGAGAGATCTGAATAAAGTGGCTTAAAGACACTAGGGGTTCATGACTCTTGGAAAGATGTTTGGAGGTGGATGGGTAGGTGCTGGCGTGGAGATGCCACAGTGTTGGGAAAGGCTTTCCTCCGCTTGGCCACCATTAATGCCTGGCTTCCCTTTTCAATGTGACCTCATGGCTCAAAGTGGCTGCCGGAGCTGCAGCCATCTCATCCACCCCAGGCAAGAAGGACAGGAAGGTCAGTGGGTGAAGAAAAGTGTTCTTCCCATGAAGGCAGCCTCCTTTATAGAGATTCCTCAGGCTCCTCTATCTGACAGTTTCCATCTTCTAGCTGAGTTTTGAAGAGGTATAAATATGTGGCAGTAAACAGGTTGTCTGTGCACTTAGTTAAAAATAGTTTCTTTTAAGAAACAGCTTTTAGATTTGAATAGATATTCCTCCAAAGAAGATGTAAGATGGCAATAAGCACAAGAAAAGATGCTCACCATCATCATTGTGGAAATGCAAATCAAAACCGCAGTGAGATGCCGCTTCACACCTGCTAGCATGGCCCTAGAATCAAAAAGACATAACAAGTGTTGACAAGGACATGGAGAAAGTAGAACTTTCATGACATTACTGATGGGACTATAAAATGATGCAGCCACTTTCGAAAGCAGTCTGGCAGTTCCTTGAAAAAGTTGAAAACAGTTACCATATGATCCAGCAATTCCACTTCTAGATATACATAAGTGAGAGAATGAAAATGTGTGTCTACACAAAGGCTTGCGTGTAAGTGTCTGTAGTAGCACTATTCATAATAGCTAAAAAGTGGAGACAACTGAAATGTGCCTCAGTTAATGAATGGATCAACAAGCTGTGGCATATCCATATTATGGGATATTATTCTTCCATAAAAGGAAATGAAGTACTGAGACATGCTATAGCATGAATGAATCTCGAAAATGTACGCCAAGTGAAAAAAGCCTTTCACAAAAGGCCACATATTGTATGAGTTCATTTACATGAAATGAGAAATGAAGTACTGAGACATGCTATAGCATGAATGAATCTCGAAAATGTATGCCAAGTGAAAAAAGCCTTTCACAAAAGGCCACATATTGTATGAGTTCATTTACATGAAATGTCCAGGATAGGCAAATCTATATAGACACAGAAACTAGATTAATGGTTGCCTTGGGGTGAGGGAAGATGGGGAGTGACTGCTAATGAGTTTCTTTTTGGGGTGATTAAATGTTCTAAAATTAGAGAGTGACATTGGCTGCATAGCTCTGTGAATATACTAAAAACCATTGTACATGTTAAAAAGGATGAATTGTCTGGTATGTGAATTATATCTCAATAAAGCAGTTTTTAAAATCAGCTTTTATCTTTATAAGACATATATTCAAGACTAACCTCAATAGAAGGGAACTGGTGGCGAGGGGGAGGGTGGATGGAAGTCCCCAAACCAGTCAACATTTCAAGAATTGTATTAGTCACCGTCTTCTCTTTCATTTGACTCCTGATTAAAAAAAAAAAAAAAAAAATCTGCCCTGCACAGTTGGGGTCAGCTCCCTCTGGCTGGTTGCCCAGATGACTGAGATTCTGAGTGGTTTCTTTGTCCTGTAGACTTACCAGTTCAGAAACGAATCTATCTGAGTCTGCAAAGCTGAGGAATGGCGATGCCAGGGGTCAGCACATAGACAGAGGTAGCGACTATCTGCAAACTCACAGGGTGTTTAGAGGGCTTGTTCTATGGCACTCTTGTTCCTTGGAGGTCCTGTTGCTGATAGTCGGGCAGAGGCAATTCAAAGGGCATGGAGGAGTGGCATGGTGTCTGTAAGGGCCTCTATACCAGGAGGCTGCAGATGGGTGACTCCCAACAAAGAGCTCTGATTCCTCTTCAGCAAGCAAGGGGAGATGATAGCCCTCTCCCACTGGGTGGGCATGCGAGATCGTGGCCACGAACCTGCTCTGCCAGTGCTGAGGGCATGCACCAGGCAAGCGGTCCTGCAGTGGCAAACTTGGGGTGGCTCCAGGGGCTGGGGTTTGAATAGGGAGAGAATAAGGATTGTCTGGCTGGAGAAGAGGGCTATGGTGGTGGCAGGAGTGGTTGTCAGGATGGAAGATAATAGAAGAGATGGTTAGCCAGCTGCGGCAACTGATAAGGATGGTCAAAAGATGACAGCCGACATCACTGGCAGGGGTACTGGTTGGGACTGCTGAAGTTAGACAATAGGGGCAACTTGCCCACTCCACACTGAGATGCTGGTGAAGGCCATCAGAGGAGGGGACAGAACCCCTCTGCTGCTAGCTTCCTTCAGATCGATCTTTCTTACGTGTTCTGGATTCTTGAGTTTCTTTTACAGAGGTTCATATTCTTACAAAGCCCCTTTGAAGAAATCATCATTTTTATGTAGCATAAGATCAAGAAGTGATTTTACATTTGCACAAATGTATTTTTTTTAATTTTTTTTAAAAGATGACCAGTAAGGGGATCTTAACCCTTGACTTGGTGTTGTCAGCACCACGCTCGTGCTCAGTTTGTGTGACTGCCCCTGGAGCTTTTCTGGAACCACACTTGTCACTTTGCCAGAGTGACTCACTGATGGTCTTTCTGATGGTGTCCCTGGGAAGACAAGGGAGTGGGAGCATTCCTTTGCCCTACTGTGGGAAGAGTCACCAATTATTTCCTCATCCTTCCCGGACAGGAACCACTGGCTCAATGACCTGTAAGGGCCGTTTCAGCACTTCCATTCCATCTGTCTCCAAGGCTTAGGTAAGGACTTTTGCTCTCAGGGTACTCCAACTCTTCCCAGCTGAAGGTCCCTCTCCTCTGAGATGGACAGTATCACCTAGCAGCACACATGCTCGCACACCATGAGTGACCTCAAGAGTAACCGAGAACTGTACCAGCAATACACAGCCACAGCCCCCAAGCTGCTGGCCCGCATCTCCAAACTCCTCACCATCTTCCGCAACTCGGGCGTAGCTGTGCCAAAGGGCATCAGAAACATTTTTGAGTTCACTTGGGAGGAGCTCATCAGCGACCCTGCAGTGCCAACCCCATCTGACATCCTGGGCCTGGAGGTCAGCTTTGGATCTCCTCCTGTGGTGCTTGTGGAACCACCCCCTGTACAGGTCCTGATCCCAAAGAAGCCACCACCACTGCCACCAGCACCACTGCTGCCGCCACCAATACTACCGACAGCCAGTGGGGTGTCCAAGTACTCCACCCTCTCTCCCACCCTGGCCCACCCCATGTCCAGTGGCCAGGAGACCCTGCACAAGTTTCAGCAGCAGTCCATACACCTGCTGACAGAGCTGCTCAGCCTGAAGATGAAGGCCATGATGGAGTCAGTGTCGGGTAAGGCAGGCTTGCCAGATCCTACTCCATTTTGGGCCCAGATGTGTGTGCACATCTGCCACACTCGCCCCAGGCAGGTATACAACCTGCACGTGCAGGAGTAGGTGGCAGCCGTGGGTCCTGTGTAGGAATTTAACTCCTTCCCTTTACCATTCCCTAGAATCATCCCCTCCCCCTCCCTGTCCTCCTATTTCCCTCCCATTCCCCAGCTTTGCAGAGCCCAGATTGGAAAGTGAGCAGGGGGACGAGTGTGAGGTCAGAGGTACTGAAGGGTGGAGTCTGTGGGGATGCTGCAGAGGGGGAGAGAGTGTTACAGGGCCCCAGCCCGGCTGCCTGCCCCCTAAACCCTGGCTTGGCTTGCCAAAATCAGTTGCAGGGGTGGGAAGGAGGTGGAATTCAGTTCCTGGCTTAGGTGCACCAAAACCTTGTTACCAGGCCAGATCTGGCTGCCTGCCCCAAACAAAAACAAATAACCTAAAGGTCAAATGTTGGTGAAAATGGAAGTCAGCTTTTATCCAGGAATACCGGTGACCCGAGGAGAGATACTAGCCTGACCCATCTCCCAGTTAACCTGAAGGAGAATGGCCAGACTAAAGCCATCTCGAAGAGTCAGATCTACTGAAAGGGTTTTAAAGAGGGGGCTGAGGGAATGGAAGGTAGGAAGTGAAAAGCAGGAGGGAGGGAGACATGAGCTGTGGGGGCTCCATGCAAGGGGTCGGGTGTAAGGTCTCACCAAGGCACCATCTGTTTTCTGTTCCCATCCTTGATATTATCGTAGGGGTGGAAACAGCATAGCTTTATTGATGTCTTCCTTGGTTTCTCAGGGTCTGGATAGTAGTAAGGTCTCACCAAGGCACCATCTGTTTTCTGTTCCCATCCTTGATATTATCATAGGGGTGGAAACAGCATAGCTTTATTGATGTCTTCCTTGGTTTCTCAGGGTCTGGATAGTATGTGACTCGTGGCAAGTTTGCAGCTCCAGGCTGACCGGAAAACAACTTTACGTTTATGTAAATAATGTCATCTTGCTCCGTCACCAAGATTCAGAATATCAAATAAATATGGGAAAAGAGAAAACTCGAGAAATACATACTAAGAAAAAAACTGTGTCCTTTTAAAATCTTTTAGAGTCCATGTGGTTTTAGGTCTCAACATGGCTTCAGTCTGCTCACTCCAACAGGAGCACCCAGGAGCAGGTGACATGCGGAGCTTGCAAATCGGGAGGGTCGACTGCTAAGTTGCCAGACAGACCCCAATAGAGTCAGAACTATGGGGAGTTAGGAGAGCCATGGTGCCCCAAGGTTCTCTACCTTTATTTCTTGGCCCATTTTTGGAGGCTCTTTTCTGGAAGCATTAGCCCTGTGCTGGGAGGAAAACGTGTTGCCTTCCTTTGGTAGGTGCCAACCCCCTGGACATCACCAGGCGCTTCGTGGAGGCTAGCCAGCTTCTGCATCTCAATGCCAAGGAGGTGGCCTTCAACTTCCTGATTGGCACAGTTGGGAGAAATGGCTACAGTGCTGGGCAGACAGGAAAAGGTGGGTACCCGAGTGAAAGTGCAGCAATACCAACAAGAATGAAATGGAAAGGTAAACAAACCCCGTGTGGAAGTTTGACATTTCCCAGAGGTGAGGTGGATGTGGAGTAGCAGGGCTCCTCAAGCGCTGCAGGTGAGTGGATACACCAGCACGATTCCTGTGCTGTCTGTTAGGTGGGAGATGTCTCCACCTTACAACCAGCAACCCCTCTTCTAGGTCATTCCCTAGAGCTGTGCTGCTCCAACTATCTGCAGTAAAGGACCTATTTTTAAGTGATCTGTTGTGGACTGACCCTTTCAAACACATGATAAAAATGTCACAGCAATATCAAATTGCTGCAGAGTTCTCTAAATGCTTACCCTGGTTCTGGCCTGTGTGGATTGGTGCCAGTCCACAGGTTTAAGAGTCACACTGCCCGAGAGAAATTCACACACATGTGCAAGAAGCCATACAAGAATGTTATTGCAGAATTGTTTGGAATGGTAAAAAAAAATTGGAAGCAGCCTAAATGTCCATCAACAGAAGAAAAATAAATTATGATCTATTTAGACAGTGGGGCATAAGGAGCAGTGAAAGTGAATGAAGCAGTAAAGCGCACATGCCAATGTAGATACAGCTCAAAAAATAGTGTTAAGTAAAAAAAAAGGAAATTATGGAAGGATATATTTGGTATGATACTATTTAAACTTGAAAAGAATGCAAAGTAGTAATGTGTTGATGAATACACCGCACAAAGTGCAAATATAAAAGCATGAAGGGGAAACTTTGAGGACATGATCTCTGGAGAGGGGCGAGGTGGTGGGATCCAGCAGACAGTTGTCTGTGTGATTTTTTTCACGTAGCTACCTTTTGTGTGTGCGTGGTGAGAACGCTTGAGATCTACCCTCTTAGCAAATTTCAAGCATACATTATTACTAACTATAGTCACCACGATGTACATACGATCCTTGGAACTTACTCACTTTATAATGGAAAGTTTGTATCTCTTGACCGACATCTCCCCTTCACCCCTACCAAGCCTCCAGCAACCACCATCCTGCTGTCTGTTTCTGTGAGTTCGACGGTCTCAGATGCACGTGTAGAGTGAGCTCATGCCATGCATGTGTGTCTTTCTGTGTCTGCCTTGTTCCACTTAGCGTGATGCCCTTCGGTTCATGCATGTTGTCACAAGTGATAGGGTTTCCTTCTTTGTCGAGGATGAGTAGTATTCCGCTGCATATACACACCAGGTTGTCTTTATCCACTCATCTGGATGGGCTCGTAGTTTGGTTCCATATCTTGGCTCCTATGAACAGAGCTTCAGTGAACATGGTGGGTGAACATCTCTTTGATTTTGGTTCCTTTGGAGGTACACCCAGCAGTGGGGTTGCTGGATTGTGTGGTAGTTCTATTTTCAGTTTTTTGAGGGACCTCTGTATTGTTTTTCATAACAGCCGTATTTATGTTTCCACCAACAGTGCATGGAGGTTCCCTGTTCT